GTAGGTCGGCACCGGAACTCATCATCCAGATGGGAAAGATCACCGCGACCTCCCGTGGGAAAATGTACTTCAAGGCTACGGGACTAATGACCATAGTAGTGACACCCCTACACCAGTCAATCCATTCAGAGGTGGCATGTCAATCGTATGGTAGGGTGGGCGCTGGGGCTGGGAGCGCGCAGGCGCGTGCACTTACCGTCCGACCAGTAGGAGTAGCGCATGGGGTCGCCGGGGGCCTCGTGGCGCCGGCTGCACGGCGCGAAGCTGCTGGGGAAGCCGCCGCTGGTGGCCGTCGCGGGGGAACCCGCGCCTGCGCACAAACAACGTCAGCCTCCCTTCCCCGCGCTCCCCTCCCGCAGTACATATACGCTCCGTGGCCTAGCAACGCCGCTCCACCTCGACAGCGAAGGCGTTCGCTCACAGGGGCACAGTGAGAAATCTTGGGACAGTTTATCCACGGGGGCTCCGCATTTCAAACAAACAAATATCTTCCTCCCCAATCCATCAAGAATATTCATTTCTTTATGTATCACAAATAATTTAAGAATTAAATATTGATTTGAGATTATTACATATTTAAAAAAAAATTAGTGAAGAGAAATTCGGGGCCCCAATGAAGTCGGAGTTTCGGACAAATTGCCCCAACTGCCCCTCCCGCTTTTGTAGTCGCCCTTGTTCGTTCAACTACCAGCCCCTTCTGTCCTCGTTTAAAAGTGCGGCTTTCACAACGCGTAGACACGCCCAGGCCCTTAGCGCCTTGTGTTCTCCGCCCACTCCCGGACAACCCGTGACTGTCGCCCTCTCTGAAATGTGAAAGCACACGTGACACTAGCCTCATTGAACATCATGTATTAACGTTAAATTCTTTCCGCCTTCCTGACGTTCTGCATTTCTCTTTCGATTACATCTGTCAGCATCGTTTACATCATCCGGCCAGACGCAAGTTCAAGCGTCCTACTAGTTCAGTCTCCTCTTTCGTTTACATCATCCGGCCAGTCGCAAGTTCAATTGTCCTAATAGTTCGGTCTTCTCTTTCGTTTATATCGAGCAACAACGTTTACATCGTCCGGCCAGTCGCAAGTTCAAGCGTCCTACTGGTTCGGTCACTGCCCTCTTTGCATCCGCGCGAGTGCGGCTTTATTTCCGTCCGCCCCCGGGGCGCCCTGGCTGAGCGGCGTGTAATGAGGGCGCGCCATGCCACCTTCTCTGCCCTCCAGCGGAGGCTGCGGCCACCCCGGAAATGAACGTTAGCGGTGGCACGCTCACAAACAAGACCTGATTAATAAATGACCGGGCCGTTAGTTTGACCTAAATACGGGCAAAGACATAATTATACCGAAATATTGAACGTGAGTTATGGTCTTAATTAAAAATTAATATTGCGTTTGCGATTTAAAAATTTAATGCTAAAATAATGAATACAATATAAATATACTTTTAAATACTTTTCATCTACATTCATAAACAGCAACGTTTATAAAGATATATTTTTATTTTAAAACCTAAAAAAATGTATAATAAAATAACTACATATTTTTACATATTTCTCCACTAATAAACAATTTAAAACACATAGTGGGCCCCCGACCGAGGAGAACTAATCATGTGCTTTTCTCTTTATGTATTAATCCATCCCTGCCGAAAAAAGCCATGTGGAGAAAAAAACCCTACACATACACTGTGTCTTTGCAATACTGCGGCTCGGATTCTAACATTCTTCTCTCGAGTAATACTCATACATGTATTATTTATCAAAGCTGAAAGACTACAGAGTTCTCGGACAACCGGTTCCCCCCAATAGCAAAACACAATATGATTCAAGATTGATAGAAAATTACTCCCGAAGCCACAACTTTAAGTCGAATTGTTTATTTCATTATTACAATTTAATGAAATTACTAACTAATGTTTTCTGAATTTTACTGAATTAAGTCAATAAAGACATCTTACTGGACAAAAACGAAAAGTAAATAGAAACTCGGAATTAAGAACGAAAAATAATATAACTGTTACGTGTCTTGAAATACAGGCGTCGTTTTATTAAGATGATTTTTATACTTTGTAAAAATTTTGCGGTCCACTTGTTTTCAGAAATAATTCGTTTCGACCACAATCGTTAACGGTAATTGAGGATAATACCAAATACACTTACCGAGTTTGGCTTTTTCTCGATCATCCATTTCAGAACCCCAGTTACCTGAAACGAAAAAGACCATTCTCAATAGTTAATTTTGATAACAGGTTTTGATAAAGTTTTCATCGCGATAAAGTTTTATAAAAGGTGATTTTAAGTATGTTATTTAAGATAAATTTTTCATGCAACATATAAATAAAAAAATAAAACAAACAAACAAACAAACAAACAAAAACAACAAAAAAAACAAAGAGACATCAGCTAACTTACCGAGACCGGAACTTAGTTGGTTGTAGCCATTCATGCCATTCATAGCTTGCAGCTGCATAGGTTGTACAGGAGGCAACTGAAAAAGCACGAAAAGATCGTCAGAATTGTGGAGTGTTTACATAACTTTCCTAAATGTAAACTAATGTTCTACATGCAGGGGACAAACAATCTGTTTTTGTCTGTATTTGCCTCACAGATATATTCCATCTTCAAGACAAAAAAATGCATTGGATTTATTTCGTAATGATTTTCAAATGCTTGAAAGTGTTTAATATTCCATTACTGTTAATTGATGGTAGATTTGGTAAAGCAAAACACTGCGCGACGTCAATGACTACGCAGATTCCCAATTGAACAATGTTAACATTGTTATTTACAGTTTTGGTAGTGATACTCTGCATTTTATATCGTTTCTTCTAAATAAATGGTGGTATACATTGACTGGTATAGGGCGATTGGATGTGTGTAGGTGGCGCATGTGCGGGATATAGAAGAGAGGGGATGCGTGTAAGGTGGGGTATGTATGAATAGGGGGTGAGCGCACGTAAGTGGGTGGGACACGTGTGGTTGCGGGTTGTATGGAATAGAGATGAGTCTTGGTGAGTGGGTGGGGCACGTGTGGGTGAAGGGTGTATGGAATAAGGAGTATAGTTGAGTGGAGTGGGGGCACGTGTGAATGAAGGGTGTAAGGAATAAGGATAAGTGTAGGTGATTGGAGTGGGGGCACACGTGAGTAGAGATGAGAGTATGTGAGTGGGTGCGGATTGTATGTAAGAGCGAGAGTAAGTATGGTGGACACATGTGTGAGTAGGGGTGGGTGTGGTATGTGTGGGTGCGAGGTGTATGGAGTAGGAATGAGAATAGGTGAATAGGATGGGGCCGTGTGTGAGTTTATGTGAGTGTAGGTACGTGGATCAGGTATTTGTGGGTGCGGGGTGTACGTAGGTAGGGTTGAGTGTACATGAGTGGGGAGGCACCTGTGTGAGCAGGGTGAGTGTAAGTAAAGGGGTGGGGCATGTGGTTCTTGGGTGTATATGAGTAGGGATGAGTGGATGTGAATGGAATTGGACCATGTGTGAGTAGGGGCGATGACAGGTAACCGGATGGGGTATTTGTACTGGATGGGGTATGTGCGGGGTGTACGTACGTAGGACGTAGGAACGAGTGTAGATGAGTGGAGTGGGGCAATGTGTGAGTAGGGGTGAGTGCAGGTAAGTGGGTGGGGCAGGCATGGGAGCGGGGTGTATGCGAATAGCGGCGGGGAGAGATGTGTGGATGGGGCATGTGTGGGCGAGGCACTCACCTGCCGCTGCAGCTGCGAGTAAGGGTTGAGCGCCTGCGCGTGCGGCTGGTTGGAGGCGCGCGCGGCGGCGGCGACGGCGGCGCTCACGGCCTGGCACGAGGCATAGGGCGTCTGCACGGGAGGCAGCGACCACGCGCCGCTGTAACATGAGCGCCACGCGCTGCTGCCATGCGCTGCTTCTCACCCGCCCCGGCACTCGCGCCCTGCTCTCGCTCGTCTGTCTACTTCCCTCCCTCCATCTACACCCCGCACCAGCACTTGCTCCATACGCTTACCTTCACCTCGACTTACACCCCCCCCCGCTACATTCACCACCCATTTATATGCTCACCTCTACACACACCGTTCCGTACCCACACATGCCCCATCCACTTAATACATACCTCTACGCACACTTGGTTTCTCCACATCTACCTACTCTCATCCCTACTCACGTACCCACACATGACCCACCCACTTGCCTACTTTTCAACAGACTTGTATTTTCCTTTCCGTCCGAAAAATTCACCCCATCCGTGTGCTAAACTATCTTCGCTTCTGCCCGCCCAACTATCTCGTCTTTCATTAGCCTCCCTCTATCACTCTTTCCATCAGCCTACCCCTATTTCCTTTTTCTTCAGGCGAGAAGCGATCTCATCTGTGGTGGTACTTTGGCCAATAGGCTGGTGAATAGAAAACAATTTCGCGCCAAAAAATATTTCCGGAGATTATAACTCTGATACAATAATGGTAATATCAACGTTCAGTGCATATTAAGTGACGTTTCATTATTTGTGAGGTCAATTATGGTCAATCAGTCGCACTCAGTGATAGTAGACGTTACATTTACAACTGCAGCAGAGAAAAATTATTGCTCTCATCTGTCCGGGCCTCATTTCCATTGCCCACAAAACAGACCACCGGAAGACGCGCTAAACGTCTAACCAGTGTACATCACAAAGGTGATTCGACAGCTGAGAACAATCACACAAGGCTACGATACGGGGTTGGACGACACAGTTTTGGGATGTCGTTAAATGTCCATGTACTTTAAATGTCCTTGTCCTTTCAGGTATATAGTATTTCCATCCGTGGTTTATAGTACGATTTACTTAGTCGTGCACATGACGAAAGGCCATATAAGCTCCCAATGAATGGATGAAACCGTGAACAGCTGACTTACGTCAATTGCACGGTTAATAAATCCTATTATTTTCTTAAAAAAAATATTTGCCGTTACTTATGCCCCAACCTTTGTGTAAATAAACGAGCGTAAATCGCTGGGTGGCGCCGGGTCGTAGGTGTGTCTCACCTGTGGTCGTAGGTGGGCGAGTAGGCGGGCGGGTAGGAGGGCGCGTTGCCGAAGAGGTTGCGCGCCGCCAGCGGCAGCTGGTGGTGGTGCGCGTGGTGGGGGCCGGCGGCCGCGCCGAACAGCCCGTTGGGGTAGGGCCCCGCGGCGCGGTACCCCGGCCGCTTCATGCGCCGCCGCCGCCGGTAGTTGCCGTTCTCGAACATGTCCTCGAACTGCGGATCTGAGCAAGCCATGCTGGTTACAAGTCGTGCGACAAACAGCTTGGAAAGTACGCACACCCGCTCAAGACAATGTGTCACATAAGTCAACTCTTTGAGAAATCCCTAGCTAATCAATGCTTAAGAGAAAATGAATTAGCCTCTATTGAGCACGGTCAAACATCAGCAATACGGTGTCTAACAGTGTAAAAAGTTCAACTTCTCGAGAAAGATAAAAAAGTATGGTTAAGAAAAATTAAGACTTAAGAAAAATCTATGCTTATGAACCTTTGCTAAGAGTGTACTAGTTGCCGTTCTCGAACATGTCCTCGAACTGCGGGTCTGAGCAAGCCATGCTGGCTACAAGTCGTGCGACAAACAGCTTGGAAAGTACGCACACCCGCTCAAGACAATGTGTCACATAAGTCAACTCTTTGAGAAATCCCTAGCTAATCAATGCTTAAGAGAAAATGAATTAGCCTCTATCGAGCACGGTTAAACATCAGCAGTACGGTGTCTAACAGTGTGAAAAGTTAAAAAACATTAAGACTTAAGAAAAATCTTTGCTTAAGAACCTTTGCTAAGAGTGTAATAGTTGCTGTTCTCGAACATGTCCCCGAACTGCGGGTCTGAGCAAGCCATACTGGTTACAAGTCGTGCGACTAACAGCTTGGAAAGTACGTACATATGCTCAAGAGAAGAATTAGTGTGTGAAGTGTGGTGAACTCTTTGAAATACCCGTAGCTGATCAATGCTTTAGAGGAAGTGAATTAGCCGCTTTAGAACAGCGAGTCTGGGCACGGTTAAATATCAGTATTATGGCTTCTAACTGTGTGAAAAGTTCAAACTCTCGAGAAAAGTCGTGCGGCTAACAGCATGGAAAGTACGCACATACGCTCGAGGCAAAAGAGAGTGTGTCAGGTATGGTCAACTCTTTGAAAAATCCGTAGTTGACCAATGCTTTAGAGAGGGTGAATTAGCCGCTCTCGAACTACGAGTCTGAGCACGGTTAAATATAAGTAGTATGGCTTCCAACTGTGTGAAAAGTTCAAACTCTCGAGAAAAGACATAAAAAAAGTATGGATAAAAAAATCAACGTTTATGAACGCTAAAAGAGAATGTACTAGTTGCCATTCTCGAACATCTCTTCTAACCGTGAATCTAAGCGCGGCAGTGGTTGGAAGTCATACGGCTGACAGCTTGAAAAGTACAACGCACCGGGCCGAATCACGAACTTCTACGACCTGTCTAAATGAGCTTCAAACAAGATATCAGAAAAGTGTGGCCAAAAATAAAAGAAGAAAAAACATAACTGATCAATGCTTTACAAAAAGTGAACACCTCCCAATTTGACTTGGCGTAAATGAGCGCCAAAAACATTCGGTTACACGAGCTATCCTGTGCAACATGCACCTACAGCGGAAACACTCACCCAAAGTCCAGTAGTTGCCCTTGCGCTCGCCGCCGCCCTCTCGCGGCACCTTGACGAAACACTCGTTGAGCGAGAGGTTGTGCCGGATGGAGTTCTGCCAGCCCTTCTTGTTCTTCTCGAAGTAGGGGAACTTGGCGAGGATGTAGGCGTAGATTTCGGAGAGGGTGGCGCGCTTGTGCGGGCTCTCCTGGATGGCCATGGCGATCAGCGCCACGTACGAGTACGGGGGCTTCGTGTCCGGGCTGCTGGTGGAGGAGGCGGCGGCCGCTGTGGTGGGGCTGGACCCGCCCCCGCCGCCGCCCGCGCCACCGCCGCCGCCGCCCGAACCAGCACCCACGCTGCTGCGGGCAGAGAGGCAGCATTCAAGATTCACAGCCATAGGACGAGAGAGAGAGAGAGAGAGAGGGGAGGGAAGAAAGAGGAAGAGAGATGGAAAGAAAGAGAAAGCGAGCGAGAAAAATAGAAGAAAAGGAAAGAGAGAGAAAAGAGTAAAAAGGGGACTGAGAAAGATAAAGACAGAAAGAAATGAATTGATTACATACGGCATTAATAAAGTGTAGTGTATATTGTATTTCAGAATGTGGCGATGTTCCTTCCCCGCTGATATACGAAATCTGGCGGAAACCTTTATGCCGCCTTGCAACGATTTTCCCCGCCATGTTCCCCTTCCAGCGGGGCAAGCTTTAACCTCCTAACTGGACTACCGTTGTGTGATAATGTAGTGCATGCAAGAATATATGCATGGGGAGACGGGGATAAAGATGGAGATGGAAATATTCCATTTGTTAAGGGGTAGTGTTCGTAGAATCGATGGAAAACTACTGATCAGAACCTTGGAAACTGTTACATTGGAAGTTACACCGATACAGGTTGATTTTGTCCTTAGGCTACCCCTAGTTCAGCAGGTCATGCTCTAATGCATTGAAGATTTCTGGTACCTGCTGAACTTCTGAGCAATTGGGAATGTTTCAAATTCAGTCAAAATCCACATGTATAAAATAGTACACCTCCGTTTTATGTATTTTCCTACTTTATAGGAAAAAAAACGAATATTTTCGATCTCCCTACAAGCCCCAGATGTAACATTTATTCTGAGACACCCGTGTCTATTTCATGTTTAGAGCTTTCTTAAAATAAATTCATTGTTACAATAATATTGCGTTAACAATTAAAATAATTTCTTCCTTTTCTTTGTGTGTTCAAAAATACTAGTGACTAAAATGTATTGTATTGATAGACATTCTACGAAAACAAAAAATAAAATAAATAATTAAATATGAATTTTTCGTCAAAAATTGTACGTCTTGTATGTTTATATTGTTCTTTATTTTGTGAAGTTGTATTGATCTCTATTTGCATGAAAAATGTCGGCAGCACATACGAACATCGCTTGCGCCTGCCGATAGGCAACCAAAGCTGCACAAGAACGAACATGTTGAGCGTGCTGCCTGCTTTTAAGGAGGTGTCCATGAACTCAGACTACGTTATGAGAAGAGTCGCGTTTATTAGTTTAACTGGCAGTTAAACTATTTACAGTACATTCGAGTTTCACGGCTAGTATGCGTTCTCCTCAGAAACTATTGTAGTGGAATTTGTCTCAAGGAGTGGTGTGATCACTAAGCTTTCCATAACACTGCCAAGCAGCTTACGTATAACAGCTTCATAAGACGTTTTACATCATTTACATGTTTTGTATTACTGATAGTGAGTGGATAACGAATTAGGAATTTCCATAAATACTTATATTTTATAGTTTTATTTCAGTTTGTACATTACATTTACAAAGCCCTTACCATAATTCACAAGTTATTAACTAATGTACTTATTTTCACATTACTTGAGATATCTAAAACAGCATAGCGCCCTCTTTTCCTTTAATAACAGCCGTAATACATCTTAGCATGCTGATGACACTCCGTGCCACAAATTCAAGCACTCGCAGCATCATGATGCCATACTCCAAGTTCAGGAATATTGGTGATAATGTGACTACTGATATTATTCTTCATAATATTCCATAACTACTGTACAATTTGACGCGCCCGAATCCCTGTCAATCAATCAATCGAGGGTGGACGCGCCCGAAATATTTAATGAATCAGGAAGTGATGTCAAATAATTTGGTAATCACGCTCTTAACCTTAACCCTGCGGTACACGGGCTAAGTAAAAGTTATTTCCGGACACGCGGTGATCTCTCAGATGCATCATTTTTGAATTTTAGCTTATCTTGCTTCACAAAATGACTATTGGGTGTGTTAGGTCCAAGCGCACATTTATTTATAAACCACAATATTTATTAATAGTAAGAACAAGGTATACGTTAACAAGTTGAATCATTTGTAAATGTACTACATGCTCCGGCCTGGGATATGCTGCACAGCACACGATTTTATTTCGATTATTCTGGTGACCACAGTATAAACCCTATTGGCAAAAACCAGAAGATATGACATCTGAGTAAAATAATAGAGAGGGTCTTAGGAGGACGGTGTTCTCAAAACATTCTATTTTTCTCTGTCACCACAAGAATAACCTGATCGGATCCATGGATTTTTAAGGGTGAAAAAATCCTTCGTAAGCCTTCCTTCGGAGGGGAAGTACAGCTTGCTGTCCCATGTTAATAGATTTACTTGCATGTAAAAGATCCTCCAGCCTAAATGACGCCTCTGGGCTTCATTCACATCACCTGTTTCGTCGCCCAAGAAATACTTCCTTTCTAGAGTAGTTGGTGAAAAGACCGTAGCGAAATTTGCGTGGTCAGACGCGAGAGCGAGCCGGATGGCCCGAGTCTCGCCTCGTAAACTAAGGCATCAATTCAACTCTGTCACCTGCGAGATCGACCGCGTGTGCCGGAGGACTAAGCGAGGGATGCGTGTGTGTGGGGGGGGGCGCTCACCTGGAGACGGCGGAGGCGCCGGCGCCCTTGTCCACGTCGCTGGGCTGCGGGGGCGGCGCGGCCACGGCGGTGGCGGCTGCGGCGGCGGCCGCCGCGTCGTCCAGGGTGAGGGCGCTGTAGCGGTGGTCGAGGCCGCGCGGGGCGAGCGGCGCCTGGGGCTGGGCCACGGACGCCGACGAGGCCAGCGGCGGCGGGGGCGGCGGCGGCGCCAGCCCGCTAGACTCGGCCTTGATGGACGTCAGCGGCGACGCCGGGGGCACCGGCGCGTCGGCGTGGCCGTACCCGCCCACTGCGCACACACGCCATTGACAAAACGGTTACTTATTTGTTCATTTATTTACTTATCCAAAATGAAAAACAGATAAAAGCTGTGTCATGCGTGGTACTCTATTGTCAAATATAGTACATTACTACAATACTACATTACTTTACTATACTACATTACTTTACAATACTACATTACTTTACTATACTACATTACTTTACTATACTACATTACTTTACTATACTACATTACTTTACAATACTTCATTACTTTCATGTAAAATACAATAAAGCATTTATGAATGCGCATTAAAATCAATGTACACAAATACATTAGGACGCAAGATTCAAAATCAGATCATATCGGGAATGAATCTTTTATCTTGTAGAAGCCGTGCACGTGGTATAAATGATGAGAGGCAGGAGAACCTCTATATTAACTATACAATGATTTTAATTTAAGCATTACAATTAATGTACAGATGTATAAAGCTCTTTTTATGTTCATGTACATTAAGTTTCATGTACACCAATCAACACTAAATTTAATGACATTTCTGACAGTGTAGCTTTATAAAAGTTATGACGTTGGGGTTGTTGATGAGGATGTGGTGTTACGGGAAATACTAAAACTGAATGTGATTGGTGAGAAGGCATGAATGATTTGGCTGGTTGTTGACGGTTCTTCATTCTGACGACGAATCTGCAATATCAGTACGTTTTCTACAGGACTTGGGACTCTGGCCAAGTTCATAAACATGGAAGTTGATTTATGAATGCAGGAAGCAACGAGTGTTTTTGGCAAGAATTAATAAGAAAGTATTAACTACTGTGTAATAAAAACTATTTCGAAACGCAAATCAGCTGCAGATTTTGACTATTATCCCTTATCTAGCCCTACGTGAAGGAATCGATTTACTGCTACGAGAACATAGAGAACGATTATTTGAATTAATGTATTCCCCAGTGACCTCAAGGAAACGAAAGAAACAGAAAGTGAAGCTACATTTATGTTTAGAAACAAAATAAGGGATCATCTCAATATTTTCTGGAAGGATCAAGGAAATTGGTTCTTGATCAACATGCTGAGGCACAGTATTTGCTAATGATATTTACCTAATAAATGCCTATTTAGTGTAAGTATCTCTCTCATGCCTATAATAAATAAGATGATTGTAAAATAGCATAAGGTGTGGATTATGATTTAATAAAAATTGAATTATGCAAATACTATTGTTTTTTCAATTTTAACCAGCAGAGCGCAAAAAGGTTGACTATCGAGAATCCTGTCTTGCGAAAACAGATTTTCATAGCATAAATAATTATTATATAGTATAAATAATTATTAATTATACAAAAATCGAGTTTGAAATTAAACGTTTCGAGCCTCAATGTAGATTTAAGATAATTCCAGCTGTGGAAGCACTCGTACGGAGACACAAAGCGAATTGCGCGGACGACGCGTGTCAGATAGAACATGTAGACTACTAATACAAAATGTAATAACCTATGTTACTAATTCAACTACGAATATTTACGTCAATGTGTTCTTATCGTAAGCCTTCGCCCATGAGGAGCAGGGGGGGGGCGAAGCCTCACTGAAAATTAAATAAAAAGGCCGGTACCCCTATGTAATAAAATATTTTATCTCCGTAAACATGATTAATTGCTGATTTTTTTCTGCTGACAATTAAGGGGAATTGATACACAACCTTTTTTCCTTTCTTTTTTTTCTTTCAAATCATCTTCCACTTCTTTAAATACTAACTCAACATAAAATCACTTTATTTATTAATTGTAACATTAAAATTAAATTTCTCTTCATGTAGTGTGTTATATTCATTTACTACTAAAATATGTTCTATATAAAAAAAATCGAAAAGTGGGCCCAGAGGAGCCCATAAATGTAGTCTCTTCTATTGTTTCAGAGTTCACACGTCTATGGTTCTTACTGAATGTGCCATGTCGATATAAGCTTCTATTCAAAGTCATCTTGAAAACTGAAATTGAAGCTGGTTGAGTGAAGTAATAAAGGAGGGAAGATTTAGGGCGCGAGTGTTGTAACACTAATCATGATTCTACAGTTTTCCCAATAAAAACTACGTAACAAAGAGTGTAAAATATTTACACTCGCCCAAATAGCTTATAATATACTGTATTTGACCAAAATCCCCAAGATTTGTTCACGTTTGCTTTATTTTTTTTAAACGTTACAACTACTCTTTGCATACCTGCAGTTAAACGACCTTTTTTATTGCAAGAAATCATTCATTAAATGACATTTTATGACACACGTGGCATTTTATGACACAGCCCGTCGTCTCCCCTCTTTTTCACTGCACATCGTCCTAGCCGTACTTCCCGCCCGTCCTCACTGAGTGACGTCATGATACCAACGTATATGTTGCCAACTTCATAACTGATTTTGAATTTGTTTCACAAATTATTTTTTTTATAAATCGATAATGCTGTTATATAAAAAAAAGAGAGCATGAAAGTTGTTAACAAAGTTGTTTATTGCATTCCCATAAATTTGAAAACTCGTTCCTAACTTCGCTTCTAACTACGTGTTATTTTCATAACACGTAGTACTACTACTTAAGTAATTCGGTATAACATTATGAAGAAGCTACATAATAAATTGTGCGCGATCTTTCCTTCCTCTTCTTTGTTATATCGCCACCTCTTACTTACACTTACATACTCTACACCATCACACATCCCGGGAAGACCGGTAGGGAGCTTAGAGCTTGTTCCGGCTGGGGCGGTGCCCCGCTGGTTGGAGATACATGATTTGGAAAAATCCCGCTAGGCGACAGGTAGGTCGGCACTGGATCTCGCTATCCAGAGGGAGAAGAACACCATGACCACTCTTGGCAAAAAAAGGTGCCCTACACTTACGGGACTAATAACCTTGGCAGATCATGCGCTCGGAATAATCAATCAATGCATAATACATTATCAGTATTGCAGACTCGTGGATTCTTGTGATTACAAGATTTTTCCCCAGTCGCAGCGAGGCTTGGCCCAGCGGCCGCCTCCGTCGCCACTGCTACCGCCGCCGCCGCCGCCGACGTCACGCCGCGAACGGCTGCAGCGGAAGTGCAAGTGTCTCCGCCACCCGACACCGCTCGTAATGAGAAGGCCGCCTCGCCCGAACAAAGCTCTTTGTTCTCCTTCCCCGCCGCGTCCCGCGCGGCGCGCGAGGCATGCCGAGCGAAGAGCGCGCGATCGGAAATCGAGCCAGGATAAATCACCCGTGGGGCCAACCGCACTGTCAAACTGCGTCAAGCGAGATGGCCCTGCGCCGCGGAGCAAGTTCGCCTCGCCCGCCAACTCTTTGGAGTCAGCGGAACGGATGTCCAGTGACAGAAACTGGATCTCTCAGCGAGCTCTTACTCGGGAAGGCCACTGCATAAAAGGACCGTAATGTCAGTCATGACTCCTCCGCGCACGTATGCATTGAACTCAAGTAACACAGATCCACGGGATTGAATTGGCGGTTTTCTTCGGAGGGGTGGGAGAGAAACCTCATCAAAAAACATTTTGGAAACTTAGTATTCAAAAGATATGCTAGGTAGTATTATCATCAGTTTACAACAGTGAGGCCACAGTTCATTAAAATGTACGTTCCGTGTCACAAATCAGTGTCTATCAGTGGGTCCTTATTCATGTAGCTCACTTGATAAAATGTCGGTAATATCAGTCACGATTCATCAACACGCGTACGCATAGAACCCATTAGACCCACATCCACTGCATTGACTTGGCAGTTTAGTTTTTAGTCAACATCGGCATGAGGAAAGGACCTTCAAAATTAATGTTTGAAACCCTCGTTTAGATTACGTAAAATAGTGGACTAATTTTATTTACAAGTACCGTGAACTCAAAAGCCTGGCCAACAAATGATCAGTGTCAGAAAGTAATATCTCAATGGGTTCTTTCTTGAAATGGCCTCTACATAAAACGATGGTTATGTCAATCACGAGTCTTCTACGCTTGTACTCGTATATAGACTTCTTGAACGGATTCACTGCCATGATTTGGCAGTTCCGAGATTTTTTGGGAGGTGGTGTTGAACTCCGTTGAAACAGTTTAACAAATAATAAATAAACATAAAAACATAATCGGTAATACACCCTAATTTACAATTGTGAACTCTTCAACAGATAGGATGTCATGATCTCTCGACGGATTCATTTCAAATAGGACCACAGAATTCAAGAAAACCTATATAGTCAATCTCCGCTCTTAAACACACGTCATTGAACAAGTATGTGGAATATATGTGATAGATCAACTGCATTAGTTGGACAGATTTTTGAGTAGAGGAAGAACCTGATTGAATCGAGTTTAGAAAGATGTATTACCTTAAGCTTTACAGGAAGCGAATAAATAAAAATTAACTTCAGTTAAAGAGGATTGTTCATCTTTTATAACAAATCCATTAGATAAAAAATCCATTAGATCAAACTGAACTCCATTTACGAAAACACTGAGATGCCAGTTCCATACGATGGACTGAATACTTTCCCAGGAAAGAAATTAGTCAGCTGCGATTGATAAAGAAAAAGAAGGTACGTGGGAAAATACAAAGTAAAAACGTGCAGAGTTGCTAATATCAACTGGTAGTTTCTCCAACACAGCAGGTAGTTCATTCGTCGTCATTAAAATGAAAATGTTAAGCAGGTGGCTTTACCTTTCGTTAGAGAAAAGACAACAAACATAATGCAACAATAGTAATGTTTCATTACCTACATCATTAAAAGATATATATTCCAACATCGATAATACAAAATCCATTATTAAAATATTATTTCAACAGACAATAATTTAATTTTTTAACAAAGAATCAATGCAACATTCTCTCAGTGTCGGCCTGGGAACCATTAGTAATTAGAAACAGACTCAAGAAAGCCGTTATCGCGTATTTCGAATTTTTGCATATTTCGAAGTATTGCGTATTTCGAAGTATCGCGTATTTCAAACTATCGCATATTTCGAATTATCGCCTATTTCGAACTA